CCTAACTACTTGGGAGGCTGAGGGAAGAGGATGGGAAGTTTGAGACCAGCCTCAGCAATTTAGCGAGTCTCTGAGCAATTTAACAAGTCCCTAAGCAATTTAGCAAGACCCTGTCTCAAAGTAAAATTTTAAAAAGTGATGCATACCTGTGATCCCAGCAACTTGGAAGGAGGAGACAGGAGGATTGCAAATTCAAGGCCAACCTGAGCAACACAGTAAGATTGTCTTAAAATAAAAAAATAAAAAGGGCTGGAGATGTGGCTCAGTGGTTAAGCATTCCTGGGTTCAATCCCCAGAACCAAAGAAAAAAAAAATTTTTAAGGACTGAGGACAGTCCTTTATAATGTACTCAAAGGTACATTGTCTTTGAGTTTAATCTGGTAATTTAATTTGGTAATTTTTTAAAAATAAAAAATGAAATTCAATAGCATTTGCTTGGCCAGCACTCCACAGTTGACCAGAGTTCCCATCCCTCCCTGTCGCACTCCAGTGCTTCTCACATTTCCCTACCTGGAACCTGTGGGGATTCCTGTTGGCCATCTCTCATTTAGAGATTTCCATCAATCACTGCTCCTGAGGAGTCACCTGTTGTTATGGTAACCAAAATAGGATTATGCAATCTCAGCCGACTTCTATAGAAAGATAATGTGGAGAACATGGAAGTCTGTGTTTGGACTAGACTTTGACCCACTGCACCTGGCTTTTTGGCTTTTCTGAGGGACATTTATAAATGCCCAGGGAATGATCCCACGGGGAGACCTCCGAGATGTGTTGGTGAAGGATGGTTGAGAAGCAGCCTGGGGGGTGTGGATCTTGGGTTGGCACTCTTGCCTGTAGCTCTTCTGACCTCCGTTGGTTAAACCACTCTAACTTTGACACGTGGACTGCTGGCACACCCTCATCCCCAGCTTAAAAGTCCCCGAGTCTGAACCCTTCCATCTCGCAGCTTCTCACCGGGACCAGCACCTCTAGCTATGACCAGTTATAGACCTAATGACTTTCCAACAACCATACATGTTCCTCTCCAATGTGTTTCCCAAGCAAGCTTTTTAAAACATGAGCGTAATCCTTTCCCCTGTCTCCTCCACCCGCACCATACTGGTCTTCCCTCTGACTTCAAACATGTCTAGTTGGAGGATCTCGAGTTCAAAGCCAGCCTCAGCAACTCAGCAAGACCATGTTTCTTAAAAAAAAAAAAAAAATTAAAGGCTGGGGATGGTTACGCGCAGCTGGGTTTAATCCCTGGTACACACACACACACACACACACACACCTAGTCCACGTCCACCTCTGACCTTTTGTTCACTTTTTGTGGTTTTCCATCTTTGAAATATCCTCTTAGATCTCAGCACAGTTTATCTCTTTTTCAATATTAAATGTCTCACCTCAAATGTCACATCATATTTATTTTATTTTTATTATTATGTATATTGGTTTTGGGCACCAGGGATTGAACTCAGGTCACTTAACCCCTGAGCCACATCCCCAGCCCTTTTTTGTATTTTATTTAGAGACAGGGTCTCATTGAGTTGCTTAGGGCCTTGCTAAGTTGCTGAGGCTGGCTTTGAACTCTTGGTCCTCCTGCCCTGGCCTCCTGAATAGCTGGAATTAGAAGCACATGCCACTCCACCCTGTGTCTAGTCATTTTCTTCCCCACTGAGTCCTATGGCCCAGAATAAATATATATGAACTCCTTCCTTAAATCCCTGAATGACTTCCCATTACCCTAAAGATCAAGTTCAAGACCTTTAATTTGGCCTGTAGGACTGGAGAGGCTTGGTGTTGCTTCTGACCACCACCCCAGCTTTCCCCTGCAGGTTCAAAGGCCTCTTCTGCCTCGGGTTTTGCTCCTTGCTCTCCTCTGCCTGGAACGCGCATCCTCACACAATTGACCTCTTACTGCTCATCTCTCAGACTCCATGACCCAGCAGTTGCCTCTCATCCTTATCACTTTACCCCTTTCATCCTCCTTTTTCTTTCTTCCTAGCATTTGCCACTCGGTTAAAACTCATGCGTTCACATTCTTATTTGTTCTAGGTCTTTCTTGCAGCATTTTAAGTTATCTGAGTTCAGAGATGTTGTGTGTGCTGTTTGTTCACTGCCATGTGTCTGGTGTCTAAGTACTCGGTGCCTGGTGTCTAGGTGCTCAGTGTCTGGTATCTAGGTACTCAGTGCCTGGTGTCTGGGTGCTTGGCACCTGGTGTCTAGGTACTTGGTGCCTGGCAACCACTAGATGTTCAAATATTTGTTGAATTACTAAAAGACCAAATCAAACCCTGGGAGGTGGCAATTATAGTTCCTGCTTTACAAAGAGAAAAATGGAGGTCCAGAGAGGCTTTGTCACCTACCCAAAGACCCACAACTTGTATGGGGAGAAAATCTAGAAATTTTTATTATATTATTGGTACCAGGGATTGAACCCAGGGGCACTTGACCACTGAGCCACATCCTCAGCCCTATTTTGTATTTTATTTAGAGACAGGGTCTCATTGAGTTGCTTAGCACCTTACTTTTGCTGAGGCTGACTTTGAACACACAATCCTCCTGCCTCGGCCTCCCAAGCAGCTCAGATTACAGGTGTGCGCCATCACGTCCAGTAATAAAGCTAGATTTAAATCCGGACCCAGCTCAAAATTCATATCTGTTTGTGCCCTAATTCTGTCCACCTTTTTCAGTGCCATTATAAGCTTCTGGGCTCTTTTGTGACCTGCACATGTTGTTACAGAAGGCACAGCTGCAAATATTTCAGCCTATTACACATGCATACATATAGGCTTGTGCACACACAGATGTTCACATGGACACACACATACAAATAAAAAATAGCTCTCTTCCTAACAAAATCAATCATAGTCATCCAGATATTTGACTGATTACAACAGAATTAAGACAGCAGTACCAAAAATTATGTGAAAAATACTGGCATGTATTAGAGAAAAACGCCCTTTCGTGTATTCATTCATTCAAACACCCGAGGATCCTAACAGATTAAGGGGAAAAGACCACATGGGAACACAAGCCCAAAGACAAAATCATCTCAGGTATGTTGTTTTCCAGTGCCTCAAAATGTGGGGCAGAAGATCCTCTACTCCCACTCTCCTGGATACACCCTAAAACCCAGGTTTTACTTCTTGCAAAAACAGAATTTCTATTTTACTTGAATCTCACTATAAAGCTCTAACTTCACTTTTATTACTTTGGAAACTTTAGGGATGATAAAATAAGCACAGACAGGTTAAGCGAAGGGACCAAGTTCACACAGCTGGGCTAGAACAAGAACCCAGCTAGAAATCCCAAGCCCCACCTTTTAAATTCCTCAATGTAATATGCTTCATTTTTTACTTTTTTTTTTTTTTTTGGTGTTGGGATTAAACCTGGTTTCATACATGGTAAGCATGTACTCTATCACTGGTCTACATCCCCAGCCCCATGATCCTTTTACGATTCTTTCTCCCAGTATAGAAACATATGAGACCCTCACTACTCAAAGTGTGGTCCGTGGGCCTGCATTATCAGCATCCTCAATTCTTAGATCCCATCTCCAACAGGCTGTGCCTGAATCCACATTTTTAACAAGATCCCCGGATAATTATTGGGAACGTGAAAGTTAAAGAAGCATGCTGCAGTTTACTGATAAATACAAGCACAGAAGTCAAAGTTCTTCTTCTTCTGTCTCCCAACATCTTCCTAGAAGTGTCTGCCTTCTTCAACATCCAATTAGGTCAGACTGAACAACTCCAGGGACTGAGTAAGGGAATAAGTCCTAGTGTCTGCTGCCACCTTGTGGTAAAATGTCCACCTAGGAAGACTTTGCTCTTCATAAAATAAATACAGGAATAATGGGGCAGGTAGGCAGGCAGTCAAGTTTTTTAGACAGCTAGCTGGAGGCGCGGTGGTGCACGCCTGTAATCCCAAGGGCTTGGGAGGCTGAGGCAGGAGGATCATGAGTTCAAAGCCAGCCTCAGCAACTTAGTGAGGCCCTAAGCAACTCAGTGAGACCCTGTCTCTAAATAAACTACAAAAAAGGGCTGAGGATGTGGCTCAGTAGTTGAGTGCCCCTGAGTTCAATCCCTGGTACCACCCCCCGCCCCCCGAAAAATGACAAAATTCGAAGATGTAATGAAATAGCCTTTATGGTGTGTCCCAAGATATCCAAAAACAAGTGTCCTATGTGTGTCCCACTGGACAGAGAGGGCTCATGTTGAGAGATCTAACAGGTCCACCTTGGTTAACAGATCCTTGGTATTCTTTTCCCTTTGAAATTCAAGCATGACAAAGGAATATCATTATCAATTAGCACGTGATTTTTTTAAATTGTCAATGCAACTAAAAGTTATTGGCTGGAGCAGTGGTTCATCCCCGTCATCCCGGCAGCCAGGGAGGCTGAGGCAGGAGGATCACGAGTTCAAAGCCAGCCTCAACAACTTTGCAAGACTCTGTCTCTAAATAAAAATACAAAAATAGGGCTGGGGATGTGTCTCAGTAGTTAAACACCCCTGGGTTCAATCCCTCGCAGAAAAAAAAAAGGGGGGGGGGGTGTTGGTGATTGGATAATCAGAACACTGCTTCTCCATTTGTCTTGTTCAAGAATCTATGAAGGATACTGAAGGATATGGAAAATACCAACCCTCAGGGAGAAACAAGAACAATGGATCCCAGGGAGAGAAGGGAAACAATGGGTGCTAGACTTCCACAATTTCCCCTCCTGATGTTGTGTCTCTGTTTCTTTCACTTTCTCTGTATTGAGTTTCAGATTCCTCTAAACGACTGGGAATTTCCCACAGTTCTGCCAAACGCATCACTGGTGAACCCTCTGCCCTTACAAATAGAGCCAGGCCCAGTAACCCACCATCTCTAACATCTGGGAGGGTATTCCTTATTAGGAAAAGATTCCAAACTGTTCCTCCATACCTTGCCCCAAACACCCCAGAACTTGACGGTTTTGTTTGGAAGTCGTGGAGCTCCAGAGCTGAAGAAATCCAAAACAGCTACCAGCAGCAATGGACACTCTTCAGCTGTATTTACCAGACCTTAAGGTTGCCTATGGAAAACTTGGCCAGTACCAAAGATTCCAGCAACCCAGAAAGAAAGATGGCACATTCAAAAGGAAGGGGATTGAAAGGTAAGTAATGCAGACTAATCGTTTCCATCAAGGGAGAGTTTTGGGATTTTTTCATTAAAAAAAAAAAAACTCACTGTGATTATTAGACATGATACTATCTCTATTTCAACACTGCATTTAGAAATGAAGATTTGGGGCCAGGTGTGGTAGCACACACCTGTAATCCCAATGGCTCGGGAGGCTGAGGTAGAAGGAACGTGAGTTCAAAGCCAGCCTCAGCTACTTAGTGAGGTGCTAAGCAACTCTGGGAGACCCCGTCTCTAAACAAAATACAAAATAGGGCTGGGGATGGGGCTCAGTGGTCCAGTGGCCCTGAGTTCAATCCCTGGTACCCACACACAAAAAAAAAAAAAGAAAAAAAAAATGAAGATTTGATATGGCCTAAGGAGAAGGAGGTACTGCATTAGCTCAGGAAGCTTAGTGCTATAAGGGAAGCCTCATTTCATGATCCAGAAAGTTTTAACTGGGAAAGCCTTTACTCTCCACTTGAATTTGATGTTTTTAAGTGTCCTATTCAGAGATGAAAGGAAGTACTGATGCTAAGTTGATATTTTCAGCATCAGAATTAAAGTCTTGTCACATCCCAGCAAATAACAGTATTTTGAAAATTCATTAGTGCATCCTTCAGAATAAATTCACAATCAATGCTTCCCTTTCCTTGTCCCTGCAAATTCGACTAATCCGATTTCACCAGTACACACTCTTTAATGAAACATCAAAACAGTCTTAGACCTGGTATTTCTCAACAATGACAAAACCATGAAGACAGGCATAAAATATTCCAAACATAATACCTTTTAATTTTGAAAATCAGTGTGGTGATTTTATTTTCTAGTTTCTTAGGCTGCTAAGCAGACTCGTGAGCTACAGCTCAGAGATATAAATGTGAGATGTTTTTATGAGCCTTGAACATCAAAGATCAAAGTTCCAAACTTCCATGGACAAAATGAAATATTGCAAAGTGAAAGCTGAGAAGCTCGATCCAGGTTACTGATGACTGGGTGTGGTGATGCCTATCTATAATACCAGCAATTTGGGAGACTAAGGCAGGAAGATCTCAAGTTCAAAGCCAGCCTCAGCAGCTTAGCGAAGCCCTAAGCAACTCAGTGAGACCCTGTCTCTAAATAAAATACAAAAAAGGGCTGGGGATGGGGCTCAGTGGTTAAGCGCCCCTGGGTTCAGTCCCCAGTACCAAAAAAAAAAAAAAAAATTTTAAAGGGAAGAATTCTTTGCACAGCAGAAAGTACAGGGGTTCTATCTCTAGGCCCTGAAGCAAATCATCTTTGTTAATTATAAATACCTCAGGGATGGGAGTGGGAGACACATTTTTAGAGATTCAGAGACTAATTAGACGAGGCCTTCTTTCCAGAGTCTTCCTGAATCTCCTGAAATTGTATTTCTCTTGTTTTGTGTGAGTGGAGGAGTGTGTATGTTCATATTGATGGCAGTATAAATTTAAATTTTTTAAAATTACTCAGAGTCTTAGAGGGGCCCGTGGGAGATTAATCCTAGCCATAAATTATCTTTGAGCAAATAAGAAAACGATGCTCCCTCCTAGGAACACTGTATTGTCATCTACCAGAAAATTATTTTAATTCCTCTGCACCACTGTAAGGACTAACACCACTCTGCAGTTGTGTGTGTACAATCTGCAGAGCTCTGTCCACACTCCCAGAAAGAAGCTGCTAGCCCATGAGGTCACCGTCTTTGGGCTCTCTCTTTGCCTTTTACATTCTCACCACACAGATCCCATCTACATGCTAATAAAGGCTGCCATTTATTGAATAATTTATTAGATGTCAAGTACATAAATTCTTTTTCCCTCTACCCTTTCTTTCTTTCTTTTTTTTTTTTTTTTTGGTACTGAGCACCTTCTCACAGAGCTACACCCCATCCCCAGCCCATTTTATTTTTCATTTTGAGATAGGGTCTCACCAAGTTGCTGAGGGCTTGACTCACACTTGCCATCCTCCTGACTCAACCTCCCAAGTAGCCAGGATTACAGGTGTGTGCCACTACTCCCAGAAAATAATTTCCTTTTTTTTTTTTTTTCTCACATGTCGGAGAATAGTACACCCATTTTCCAAAAGAGAAAGCCAAAGTTTACAGAGGTTAAATAACACATAAATAAAAGGGCACACAATTAGGAATTGTGTTCCTAGTGAGACCAAGATCATTGAAACTCCTTTGCGTGCACTCTCTGAACTGCTTCCCATGGATGAGGATGTCCGTCAGATGCTGAAAGATCTAGGCTCAGTTTAGAACAGTGCTTTGCTGAAGTGTAGGACATATACTACTGATGGTACCTGAGATATTGTAGGTAGTACATGGAGAACATTTTTAATGGCTACTAATTTATTTAACCCATATCAGAAATATATTATATATCATATATGTAACAAAATATAATATATCATAATAATAGTATAACATATTGTACTACAGTTATGATAATCATAATATATCGTGATTGGGATTTTACCTGAGAAATGAACATTTATGCTCACTCAAAAGCCTATATGCAGACATTTATAGCAGCTTTATTCATAATAGCCACAAACGATGTAAATGTTCTTCACTGAGTGATGGTTAAATAAACTGTGATACATCTCAATTTCTCAGGGTATAGCTGAATGGTAGAGCACCCTCCTGGCATTCAAGAAGCCCTGGGTTTCATCCCCAGAACAGGAAAAAAAAAAAAAAAAGCAGGTTATATTCATATGATCCTGTTTGTATAACATTCTTAAAAGGATAAAAATTATGCAAAAATCACATCTTACTGGTTGCCAGGGTGAAGGAGAAGTTGGGGGCAATGGTTAGTGGGTGTGGCTGTGAGAGGAGGGATTCTAGCTCCCATGAAACCTTCTGTGTCTTGATGGCATTAACGTCAGCATTCCAATCATGATCATGTAGCACAGTTTTGTAAGATGTTACTGTTTGGGAAAATTGAGTGAAGAGTATGCAGGATTTTCCAGTAGGGTCTCTCTGAGTTGCTTAGGACCTTGCTAAGTTGCTGAGGCTGGCTTTGAACTCGTGATCCTCCTGCCTCAGCCTCCTGAGCCACTGGGATGACAGGTGTGCACCACTGTGCCTGGCCAGTATTATTTCTTACAACTGTATGTGAATCTACAGTTGACTCAAAATAAAAAGGTTAATTAAAACAAAAACCTCAGATTTCAATAATAGTATTGTTTTGGATGAAGCTGACCAAAACCAGTTAATTGAAAAAATAATAGGCAAATAATTGTATCAGGGTCTGGCTGATACTGACTCTTGCATAGAGGTTAACAGTATGGTCCTGAGGATCATCCCAGTGTAAATTACGTAATATTCCCAAGCTTTAATTTTCTTCTTGTGTAAAATGGAGATGTTGATGTAAGAATGACATTATGCAATACCATACAAGGGCTTAAAAGATGAGTTAGAGAACTCTCAGGAAGAGTTGTCTATGTTTATTACTAAAATTTGCCCAAATCATGAAGATAGTACAGAAGTATTTGGAATTTTGGAAACATGAGTTGAAAGCATTTTACCTAAATGAGTGTTCTAGTATAACTGCAGTGTGGAAAGGGTCTTAGAGATCATGTTCTTTATTGACTCTGCTAGTAAACTCTCATCTTTCATCATATTAGCCTCTAAATCCAGCAAAATCTATCTCATAGCACCATTGAAATAGGATTTCAATTTGTGAATATGAGCTAATAGATTCTCATAGTCAAAGTCCTGGCTTAACGTCTGCATTCTACCCTTGGTCAGTGAATTCAGCCTCTTTATGCCTCAGCTTACTCATAAATAAAATGAAGATAATAATATAATGTATGCCAAGTATGATGGTGCATGCCTGTGATCACAGCAGTTTAGGAGGCTGAGGAAGGAGGATGGCAAGTTCAAGGCCAGCCTTACTACTTATTGAGGTACTAAGCTACTCAGCAAGATCCTGTGTCTAAATAAAATATAAAAAGGGCTGTGGGGCTGGGGTTGTGGCTCAGTGGTAGAGCACTCACCTAGCATATGCAAGGGAGGTCCTAGATTCATCCTCAGCACCACATAAAAATAAATAAATAAAAACAAAGATATTGTGTACAACTAAAAGAAACAAATATTAAAAAAGGGGAGGCTGGGGATGTGATTAAGCTCCTCTGGGTTCAATCACTGGCACAAAAATATAACATATATTTGTATATTTCTATTTATTTTTAGATATATATTTTATATATAATATACATATTTATATATATGAATATATATATATGTGTGTGCATATATACACATTTTTTTTTTCTTTTGTGCCAGGGATTGAACCCAGCACCACACTTCCTATGGTGCTATGAGGATCAGGTGAAATAGCGGCTGAATTGTACTCACTATCATCTGTTGATGAAGCATCAAATTGTTGCTTTGGCCTTTTTATTATCATTATTATTATTTCCTGTAATCTGATTCTTTTCCTTCAGTTTCATTTTTTGGAATTGTATCATTTGTTCACATTTGAAGTTTTGCCTTTAATGAACTTCAATTATTCATTTTAAACTTCTCAGTGTCCTCGATGCGAGCTATTTTGATTCTCTTTAGATGGCACAGAGCTGCGTCTACCCATTTCGTAAAACAAAATTTGTTGTTCCCCAGAGAGAAATCCTTCAGTGAAAGTGACCCGGGATCTCGTGCAAGCCAGCAAAATCAGAAACCAAAATGGGTGAAGAGAATCAAGACCGCGTTTAGGAGGACGCTGTCCCACAAGGGCAGAGGCCAGCCAGCCAGTATCAGCAGAGAGGGCTCCACTCTCCATGGGAAAGCCCTGGGTCCCCACGCACAAGGCCTTCTTCCTAGGATTGTCAGGGCGCTTACTTCTCCCAAGTTGTTTACCAAACCAAGAGTGGAAGAGCGCACACAGAATGGTAATGACCATGGCCACTGATCCACACGTGCCTGACCCAAGACAGACAGGGGAACAAGATGGAGCCTTTTGCTACCTGCAATACTTTGGATCCTGTTTTAATCAGCCTTTTCATTGCTGTGACCAGAAGACCCGACAAGAACAATTACAGAAAGAAAAGTTTGTTTGTGTGCTAACGGTTTCAGAGATCTAAGTCCAGAGATGGCCGGGCTCCATTCCTCAGGGCCTCAGGAGACAGAGCATGGTGGCAGAAGTGTGTGGCAGAGGCAAGTAGCTGGGAACATGGCACCAGGAAGCAGAGAGACAGAGCTCTGCCTGACTAGGACAAAATATCAACCCCAAGGCACACCCCCAGAGCCCACCTTCTCCAGCCACACCCCACCTGCCTCCAGTCACGGCTCAGTTAATCCCACTGGGGGGGGCGGTGATCAGTTCACCCATTAGATTAAGGCCCTCAGAAGCCAGACATTTCACCTTTAAACTTTGTCTCACACATGAGCTTTTGGGGGACACCTCACATCCAAGCCATAACAGATGTTGAATGTCCCCAAAGACATATTTACAGGCTTGTTTCCACAAGTTCATGCTATTGGGAGGTGGGGCCTACTAGGAGGTCCTTGGTCACTGGGGTTGTACCCTGAAAGGGGATTTTGGGACCTCTGTCCCTTTCTCTTTCTCGTTTGCTTCCTGGTTTTGTTCCACCATGTGCGTCCCCCCATTGCCATCCAGCATCCCTACCAAAGGCCTAAAAGCCATGAGTCTATGTGATCATGGACTAAAATCTCTAAAACCGTGAGCCAAAACAAACCTTTTCTCTTCACAAAGTCAATGATCTCAGGTATTCCATTACAGTGATAGAAAGTAGAACACTGACTAACACACCATCCAAAGTAAGGCAACTCCCAGGGGCTAGATTAAAATGTAGAATCTCAGGTTCCTCCCAGGTCTATTGAGTCAGAAGCTGCATTTCCAGTAAGATCCCCAGTTGACTCGTGTACTTTTGGAGAAGCACTGGATTAGGTTGACTTTATGGTTCTTTCAAGTCCTACTAGTTACTGGTCTAGTCAGTGTAAAGTAACTCACTATTTAAATAGATATGCACAAAGATGCATACATGTGTATGTGTACATACATATATACTAGAAAATCAAACTAAAGTGGACCCATGCACTGTATTGTGTGCCTGTCATTCCAGTAGCTTGGGAGGATGAGGCAGGAGAATCATGAGTTCAAAGCCAGCCTCAGCAACTTAGCTGAGGCCCTAAGAAACTCAGTGAGACCCTGTCTCTAAATAAAATATAAAAAAAGGGCTGGGGATGGGGCTCAGTGGTTAAGCACCCCTGGGTTCAATCTTTGTTATTAAAGCAGCAACAAGAAAAAACTAAATGGGATTTTATTTCTGGAGAAAACAGTGATACAGCCTTTCAAATGTTGACTTCCAACAGTGGAGGGCATAGGGAGAATAAATGAATAAAATTTGTGATTGGTGGGTCAGAAAGGAGGTTTGATTTTTTTTTTTTTTTTTGCATCTACTTTTTATGTACTGTGTGGAAGGATCAATATTTGAACTGTTAACTTCCAAATCTTTATTTTTTCTTTTGCAGTACAGTAATGCTGTTGTTTGGAGTTCTATAAAATTACGACTAATAGAATCACCAATGTTTGCATTCTCCTTTGTAGCTTTTTTTTTTTTTTTTAATCAATAGTCTTTGTATTTTAGAGCATTTTTAGGTTGACAGAAAAATTGAGCAGAAAATGCAGAGAGTTCCTATATAATCTTCTTTCTCTTCCCTACTTCTAGATTTTCCCCTATTATTAACATCTTGCCTTGATATGATAGATTTGCCATATTGATGAACCAATATTGATACATTATTATCAATCAAAGTTCACAACTTTCATTAGGGTTCATTCTTTATGTTGTATAGCTTTGTGGGATTTGATAAATATATAATGTCATTTGGGTCATGTATCCATGATTACAGTCTCCTATTCAATAATTTCATTGCCCAAAATATCTTCTGTGTTTTTAACCCTTTTGGCATAGTAGCAGGGAACATATGCAGCCCGGTAACCTCACATTTCATAAATGATTGGCCGGCAGACCTGGATTTTCCAGGGATGGGGGGGACCCAAAGAAACAAACAAACAAAAAATTGATGGCTTCCAGCTGACTGATTGCCCTTTCAAACAAACTCTGTCTTCTGGAAAAAAATAGTTGCTAATGTAAGCATCCAAGCATCTAGCAGGGGTTGACCTGTATATTTCTGTCGAAAATAACAAAGAGGATGTACTTCTATATACCAGTGGGACCAGAGCTGGAGAGTCTAGATTTCTCCAGAAAACATGCCCATCCTTTAGGATGCAGCTCAAACATTATTACCTTGTGTTTGCTATGGCCCAAAGATAGCTTTCTATTGAACTCCAGAATTTTTTTTGGGGGGTGGGTACCAGAGATTGAACCCAGGGGGGCTTAACCACTGAGCCACATCTTCAGCGCTTTTAAAAATTGTTTTTTATTTTGAGACAGGTTTTGCTAAGTTGCTTAGGACGTCGCTAAATTGCTAAGGCTGGCTTTGAGCTTGTAATCCTCCTGTCTCAGCCTCCTGAGCAGCTGGGATTACAGGGGCGCACCACTGCACCCAGCCAGAACATATTTTTTACCTACTTTATAAAATGTCTGCAAAAGTGCTTATTATTATGCCGATCGCAGAATTAGGGACCAATTAGCGAACAGAACAGACGTGGCCCCTGCCCTCATGGAGTTATAACATAGAGGGACTTAAACATTATGCATATAATTGTATTTGAGGCAAAGTGGAAGCCCAGGGTGCTATGGAAATGGATGCTCTCATTTTAGGGGGGCTTTCAGAAAAGTCTCCCTGAAGAAAGAAAGGATGATAAAACTGAGATCTGAAAGATGACTAAAGTTAGATAAGGAAAGAGTGGGATAACAGTTTTCCAAAAAGAAAGGAGAGCATGTTCAAGCCTTAATATCAAGAGAGGATCAAACATAACCACAAAATGCAAACAACAAGCCAGCGGCAGGTGGAGGGCATTGGAACAGAGAGAACCCGGAGGGTCTGGTTGGAGGAGGTGGTGAGGATGTGGTAGACCACATTAAAAATTTCTAACTTTCTCCCAACAGCGATCAGAAACCATTGAACCTAGCTGGGGATTTATTAACCTGATTTATATTTTTAAAAGATAGCTGTGGCTGCAGAGTAGAGACTGTACGAGGCGAGGGCAAGACCAGTACAGTAAGAATAGTGGACCGTAATTCAAGCATTCGGGACATTTGGTGGACGTGGAGAACAGGGAAGATGGAAGAGTTTCCTGCTGGAGGTAGAAGCAACATTTGCCAAGATTAGAAGCAATGGGTTGGATTGGAGTCATCAGTTCTAGTTAGAGTTTCTTTCTTTTTTGCACGGAGGTGAGTACTGGGGATTGAACCCAGGGGCACTTGACCACTGAGCCCCATCCCCAGCCCTATTTTGTATTTATTTAGAGACAGGGTCTCACTGAGTTGCTTAGGGCCTCAATTATGCTGAGGCTGGCTTTGAACTCACGATCCTCCTGCCTCAGCCTCCTGAGCCGCTGGGATTAAAGGTATGTGCCACTGCACCTGGCTTGGTCAGAGTTTCTGAGTTGAGGTCCTTGCAGAATAAGTAGGTGGTGGTGTCAAGTAGTTAATGTATCTTTATTGAAATCTGATGCTTCCAGAAAAGTCCTTATCAAGGGACCTTAAGCAGGACAAGATGACTTTGGGTGCTGCACCCAGTGTGAAGTGACTCTGAAACACAGCAAATTGCAAATCCCTTGTTCCCAGTACCATTACTCCTTTTAGCATAATCAAGGAAAAATGTCATTTCTTACCTCCCCCACCACTTTTTTAATAAAGGAAGAGTAACCTCAAGTTCAGGGCCTTCTGCAGAAAATGACATGTTTGTTTTTTACCACATAAATTTTAATGCCTATTTGTGATACTGGTTTTCAATTTATGGTAGCATTTTAAAGTTGCCTTTATATGAAAGAAAACATTTGACCCTTGACTTGCTGAGTCTGGTAAATTATATCCCACACTTATATGATTATGTCAAAATGAACCTCAAATATTATGTTTAATAAGAAGACACTAATAAAAACATAAAAAAGAAAAAATAAAGTTGCCTTTATAAACACACTTATTGAGTTAGGCTGAATTGTCATAAAGAAAATATTATGAAATTCAGGGTTCACATGGCTCCCGGATGTGGGGAAAAAAACCATTCAAATGGTATGTGAGTGACTAAGTTCTGGCCACATTTCTAGAAAACACATTCAAATTCTGCTCTAATCAACAATAAATACTCAAACTACTTGAAGATTACTATTATAATAATTCAATGAACACAGAGAGATCTTAGTGACTCAAAGTGTGGTAGATACTTAGCAGGTACTGGTTTTTTTTTCAGAAGATAGAAGGGTCTTACTTTAGATGGATCAGAGAAGGTTCTGCAAGAGGTTGCTTCTTCTAATTCTGCAATGTTAAAGTGCAAGCATTGCAGTGTGAAGCTAAGCCTCTGAGAGAGACCGGTATCCACTTTGTCAGGATTGGGATAATGCCTGCAAGGTTCATGATCACATAAGGCAAATGTGTGCAGTAGAGGAAAACCAAATCCATTTTTGGCTTTTAATCCCAAAGGAAAAAAGCTACTGAGGCAGCAGTGTATATTGCTCTCTTTCCGGAATCATTTCAAATAGGAAGAATAGGTTTATCCCTGTGCTCTTCAATGGGTCTTTTTTCTTCTTTTTCCAAGCAACTATACAACTTGATGTTGTAGAAGCCGAGACAGAGGAGATAACCCAAGGAAATACGCTCCTTCGGGCCAAGAGAACCACCAAGCGCTTATCTGTGACATCTCTTCCTTCGGGGATGCAAAAGGTAAAATGCTTAAAAAAAAAAAAAAACCACAAAAAACTTGCCTCTAAAGACCTGCAAATAAGAACATTAATGGATTAAAAAAAAAAAAGAGTTCTCTCCTACCATAGTCCCCTATAGTAAATCCTTTAAATCTGCTGTTTGTGTCTTTTCTCCAAGAATTTAGGGCTCAGAGAGAGGGGCGTCCAGGTCTGATTCCTCTACTTCTAAGCTCAAACTCTTCAGCTCCTACTATAGTCTGGGCAACAGGGGAGTTTGGAACTTCATGCTGACTTGCTCAACTGTTCAATGTCAAGTTAGTATGTTAGTCATTTGGCCTCTCCCTTTGTGCTGTGTGGAGAGGAATTCACAAGACCAGTGCTGTCCATCCAATCAACATTCTGAGACAACACAGCTTTCATTGTCCAGTCAAGTAGCCATTCGCTACGTGCGTGAGGCTTTTGAGACTTTGAAATGTGGCCAGGGCCACTGAGGAACTGAGTTTTTCATTTCATTTCAATTGATATTCAATTGAATTAATTGAAATGGCCACATGTACAGCATAAACAGTGCCATGCTAGATGGTATATATAAACTTTAGTTACCCAATTATTTTTTTAAATGTCATAATTTAATTTTAAAAACTGGATTTTTATTTTCCTTCCTTTCTTTCTTTAAACAGGTGGGTCTTATTATGTTGCCCTCACCGATGATTATATCCCCCCCACCACTTTGGTACCAGGAATTGAACTCAGGGGGGCTTAACCATTGAGCTACATCTCCATCCCTTTTTAAAATACAGTTTATTTAGAGACAGGATTATGTTAAGGTGCTTAGGACCTTGCTAACTTGCTGAGGCTGGCTTTCAACTTGTGATACTCCTGCTTCAGCCTCCCAAGCCCCTGGATTACAGGAGTGCACTGCTGCAATAAGGTCCCCCGGGCTGGTCTTAAACTCCTGAGGTCAAGCCATTCTTCTCCCTTAGCCTCCTGAGTACCTGAGTAGCTGAGACTCCAGTTCATGAGCCATTTTTTTTTTTTCTTTTTCTTTTTGGTAACTGGAATTGAACTTAGGAGTTCTACCACCAAGCTACATTTTCAGACCTTTGTTTTTTTTTGTTTGTTTGTTTGTTTTGTTTTTTTTTTTTTTGACAGGATCTCCTTAAGTTGCTAAGGCTGGTCTTGAACTTGTGATCCTGCCGCAGCCTCCCAAGTTCCTGGGATTACAGGCATACACCATCACACCCAGCAGCCCAGACTATTTTTTAAAAATAGAAACCTGACCTATTATTATTTTATGTATATTAAGCACTTACTCAGCTTGCTACTATGGGCGCAGTGGCACATGCCTGTGATCCCAGCTATGTAAGAGATTGGCAGGAGGAACACAAGTTCAAAGCCAGACTTAGCAACTTAGTGAGACCCTATTTCAAAGCAAAAATTTAAAAGGAAGGTGGGGGGAGACTGAGGAGTAGCTTAGTGGCAGAGAGCCTCTGGGTTCAATCCCCGGTACTTCAAAAACAAAACAAAACAAAAAAGCAAAAATCCTGACATTATGTTCCAAGCCCTGTTCTAAGTGCTTTAAAAATATCAGCTCCAATAATTATTACAACATCCCTATAAGATAGGTAGCAAAACTGTCCTTATTTTAGGGATGATTCTCAGAGGTTAAGTAATTTGCCCAGTTGAGTAGAAAGCCAAGTTTCCAAGGAAAGATAAAAATGGATAAATCTAGCTTTAATTAAATAAGAATTTCATGCCTCAAAACACAGCAAACCTAGCTCTAGAGTCCCCCCACCACTTTTTTTTTTTTAAGAGTACTCAGGGTTGCAAGCATAAGCACATACTCTACCAATGAGCCCCTCAGTCACATTTATTATGCTATGTATTAATTGTACTAATTTCTTGGTTTAATATGGTAGCCACATGTGACTATTTACATTAATTGAAATTAGATGAAATAAAAAATCCAGTTCCTCAGTTGCACTAGCTCCATTTCAAGTGGTTTATAACCACAGGTAGGTAGTAGCATTTGTATTGGGAATAGCACTGATAGAGTATGCCCAGATTCAAAGCAAGTTTTATCAAACAGCACTCTGGAACATTGCTGTCAGAGTGAATCCATATTAGCTTTGAATCTGGCCGCTTGCATGCAAAATTCATATCTATTGTGCTCCTACTATGTTCTGGGCAATTTCTAATTTTGGGGGCTAATGGAGACAATGGTCTTAGTTTTGTGGAACTCACAGGCTAATAGAGGAGAAATACTGTGTGCCACAGTATTGCAGAGCAGTGGGGTTATGAAAAAGGTTTTGAATAGATGGCACTTGGACAAGTGGCCATCCATATGGGAAAAGAATAACATTGGATCCTTACTTAACAGCACATACAAAAATTAATTATTGTTGGTTTAAAGTGGGAAAGGCAAATCTTAAAACTTCTGGAGGATAATATAAGTATCTTCATTATTTCAGGACAAGGACTTCCTAGTACACAACAGCATTGACCTTAAAGATAAAAATGGATAAATTTGGCTCTAATTAAAATAAGAATTTCATGTCTTGAAACACATTAAAGCAGAGATTAGCAACTGGTTATAAAAATTTTTGTTTTCCCCCCACAATGTTATCAAAATTTATATTTGAATCATCCATGCTTGAAAATCAGACTATTTCAAATAAAAATCTAGATTTTTTTCAACTTTCTTTTGAAACATAGGGAGATTTGGAAACACAAAGCAATTCCTCAGAGTAACCAGTAGGGGCAGCAAAGAGGCATCCACCTGCAGGCAACCTGTGTCAGGGCACACAGACCCATGGATCCTGGTTTACAAATCCTGCCTAGGTACTGGATTTAGTAAGAGTTGCAGTCAATGAACACATAGAAATAACTTGGCAACTACTGAGTGGGGGTAGATGCTCAGTAGGAAAAAGGACAAGATTTTCTGGAAGAGAAAACAGAAGGGTCTTGCTTTGGTTGGTGATCAGGGAAGGTCTTGCAAGTGGCATTTGAGCCAGGGCAAGCTGGCAGGGCAGCCGTGGTTCAGCAGATTGTAAGCTCCTCGTCAGGCAAAGGCTAGGACCCTGACATAATCCCACATCCTACTCTGTATAGATTTCACAATAATCCTTGTGCTAATTATTAAATTCAAAAGGAGGCAGTGAACTCAGTAAGTCTAAAAAAGGCATATCAGCCAGAAGCCATGACCTAGGAATAGTTTCCAACAGCAACACTCTCAGGACAGGTTACTTGTAGCCACCAAGCTAAGGACAGTGGGAAAAGTGTCAGGCATGGGGTAAAAAAGCACCCTGAGCTTTCTTTTTGTTTGGAGTCATGACTGCCCTGAAAATAAGGAAACCTGCAGAAACGAGATCAAATTAACAACTGGATCCAGTGCTAATGAGCTTTCTGGGGCACTGGTCCACAACAGCCCCACACTCTGACTGTGCTCAGCAGCTGCAGAGGCAATTTCTTCTTCTTTTCCTTATGAATGACCTGCTTTTTTTCCCTGACGCTGTATATTCTTTCGAAGCCAGACAATCTAATTTCTCTGCACCCTATAGATCTCTTCAAAGGGAGCTCTGGGCACAAAGGAGATACATGGGGCATAGAGAATAATAAGAATATGGTCTCCAATCCAATGCTGTTATGTGGCCAATGTTCACTTTATGAAACAGTGTCCAAAGGGTGAGAATTCCTATTTAAGCATCATCATAGAAATAGCATTGGTATTTTCTGATCTGATCTGTTTTTGCATTTTTCTAATAGGTACCATATTCACCAAAGAAAAGACTACACTTTCCAACTCTTAAAAAAAAGAAACGTGGAATTCTCCAAAAATCAGGTCTGACAATAGGAGAGCTTCAGATGCAGGTAGTGGACAAAGGCTTTTACTTTCTGTGTGTGAAGCATCAGAGGACCCAACCTAACTAAACACATAGCCCTCCCAGACAGCTTGGATATAATTAACAATTAGCAATAAGAAATAATGTTAGCAGGGCAGGGGGCATTCTGAGAGTGGCCAAAGGATTGCTAAGGGCACCTCGATGGTGCTCTGTGCCCCATAAATATTAAGTGAACTCCATTAAAATGAAGGCATACATGTAGACTTCTTAGAAGAAAAGAGATCACCTTTACCACCAGGGGGTAAATGTTATGTTTTAAAGCTCTGTTTGCTATGTCTTGAATTAGAATAATACTTTGGGGCTTGAAAACATCAGACATCTATCTCTTTGGTTTTGACAAGTGTTTCCAACACGTGGTTTCATCTGTCACAGGTGGATGACCTCAAAGAAACATTGTCGGATAAATCCATGAAACTGTTGGCCCAAAGACTTGCTGAGCTACAACAGTGTGAGCTTCTAGGAGATGAAATACTTCAGTCTTCTAAGCAGTTCCAGAAGATATCCAAGAGAACCGTGTGGAAGTATAAACTGAAAAATATGTGTTGCCCATGTACCTGCTGCTTCTGATTTTGTTTCTGACTAGATAAGAGCTAACTAACTAGAACAAATTAAAAAAAAAAAAAAAGCTAAAAAAATAAAAATAAATAAATATAAAAGAGCTAACTATGTAGGAACTTTTATTTTTTGGTACATAATCCTGAATAAATCTCTCTAATGAATTAAAAGATAAGGGTGAATTTTAAAGAACATTCTCCAAGAATTTTTTTTAAAAGGATCGCTTTTGAAAAATTGATTTTTATGTCTGAGTCCATAGGCACAAATTTTTGCTTAATGATTCTCACTAATAATGAGAAAAAGAAACTTTTGTCAGGGTATAGCAACGCTGCAAAGAAATTTCTCCTGAAACATGCCAGATGAAATCAGAGGAAGCATTTAAAGGTATTATGACACTCTTAATATGACTACTACTGAGCTAATTTTAAACTTTTCATTTTTAAATATAAAAAGTCTTATTAAAATTATAAAAACGTGACATAATGAAGGTATGATTCATGGAAAATGTCATGTCTTTGAACTAAAATAAATGGATGAGAATGGAACCTAACAAGAACTGCATGTGTAATACTTAAGAAAATTACAAACGATCCAGACTTAGTTCAATTTTTATAATTAAAAAATCCTTTATGCAAGATCATCTTAAACTATTTACTTCAAATAACTTTTCATTTTATAAATATATTTTTTTATTGAAAATGACTTCTAAAGGTCAAAACAGTAGAGAAAAAACTTAAAACATTTAACAACTACATTCTTTAAGTACTAGAGAGAGAGGGAGACTGAAAGAGTAAGTAATGCCTATGGATTTACTTTTGGATCTTGTAATTACCTCTGACACCAGTGATTCTTAACATCACAGTACCTCTTCCCACAGTAAACATACACCATAAACACTGTGCATGTAATTTCACAGGTTCATGGTCCTTCTGAGGCCTATTCATGGACTTCATTTTCATTTTCTAAAGTGGTAATAATTTCCAGAAATTGACTCATCGTCCCATATACACCCTAGAAATGCCACCTTCTCAGTCTTCACTTATTTTATAAGGCAGTCAATGTCACCAGTTACTAATGGGCACAAACATGTAACTTAAAGATATTTTATTAAACATTTTTGGATGTTGTTTCCTACTTTTTAAGAATGAAAAATGCATTTCAATAAAAACATATATACTGAAGCCATTTTTCTTTGTATGAAGAAATATAAATGAGATGTGCATTAATATTTAATAGCAAAGTACTTCACTGGCTAAACTTCAAATATGTCAAGAGCACAACAAATTCTAAACATACTAAGATTATGTAGCTCTTTCAATATTTTGGGGGAACAGTGATTCAATTGCCTAGGGCTTAGGATCTGCTTCCATGCTTGTTTCTTGAGCTTCTTCTACCTCTGAGAGCTTTTCATCATCTGTAATTGAAAAAGAAACACAAAACCTTAGTCAAATTTGCCAACATTTTATGCTTAATGCACATGTGAAATATTTTTATCTTTTATTAGCCAATACTTTTAAAGAAAAGATGGCAAAATGGCAGTCTGTGACTGCAACTGTCTCACATAAATGTTTGATTTTAAAAATGCTGTTTGGTGGTTGTTATTAGTTGAATCAAAATTTAAAATTTGTATGACAGATTTCACTTAAAAAAATAAACATAGGCCTTGGGACAATCAGATCAAGTGAACAGAAATTTCCAATTGGCTATAATCAATAGCAAGTCTTCTCTTCCTTATAAATGACTTAAAATTCATTACATGTCTTTCATTTTTTTTCACTCATTAGAGTTTTAAAAGTATATATCTAAGGGAAAGATATATTTTCCCTCAAAGTACCTACCATTCATTAGGTATACAAAAGGTTTTTTATTTTTTGGTTCTGGGGATTGAACTCAGGAGTGGGTTTTGAGCCATATCCCCAACCCTACCTCGTATTTTATTTACAGACAGGGTTTCACTGAGTTGCTTAGGACCTCAGTAAGTTGGCTTTGAGTTTGCGATCCTCCTGCCTCAGCCTCCCAAGCTGCTGGACTATAGGTGAGTGCCACCAAACCTGGCCTGGGTGTGCAAACATTCTTATGCACAAATTACTTATCATTGCCTTCCTGGGGCCTGATTTATTACTTTACAGTAATAAACTATAGGAAACCAATAAAAACTCTGTTATCTAACATCCTTGAATTTTTCCTATTTAAACTACTAGATATATATTTAAACCAGTTACTACAAAATTAAAATTCTTCTGCATATATTTAAAAAGTAGAACAAATTAGTGTCTTCTAATGTCATCCAGATATTCTTCTATTTACAAATTGAAGGTATTCTCTCTCTCCAAGCTGTAAAAGGCACACCTCTCAATCAATCACTGAAAAATCTTCATAAACATTCATTTTGAGATAATTTCTACTTACTTTCCAATGTTTGCTGAAGTTCATGGATAGTACTAAGAAGAACATGAAACTGCTTCCGTCTCAATTCCAGCTATATTAACAAGAAGAAAAAATTTATTGAAATTGATCTATAAACACACACACACATATACACCATAAAAAAACAAAGGGGAAAAATATATATATATGCAAATACCTTATCTTCAACGCTTTCTTTAATATGTGAAAGATGCTCTAACTCTTTTCCCAGAGCCTCTAATTCTCTGAAAAAAGTAAAACAGTGCTATTTTTTGCTGTTTTGGGAAATAGAACTTACAATTCTAATCAAACATTTAAAGTATTAAATAGTATTTTTAAAATGTAAAAAGAATTAAAATACTCCATTATGTGAGACTTGTAAAGTTTAGAACTTCTTAACTACTAAATGTGCACTATTTTCATTAAAGCTATACTTTTATTTTTCATTTTTTAAATTTTATTTATTTAAAAAAAAATTTTTTTTAGTTGTAGTTGGATACAATGCCTTTATTTTACTTATTTATTTTATGTGGCACTGAGGATCAAACCCAGCGCCTTGCACATGCTAGACGAGCACTGTACTGCTGAGCCACAACCCCAGCCCCCAAAATGTATATTTTTATATAAAGTTTTTAAGTACAGAAAAACTCAGATAATAACGAAACTCAAGAAATGGTACATTTTTATCATACTAACTTCAAGATTTTCCTTCAGTTAAAAAAAACAAAATCAAAAACAAAACCTGCTGCTAATTAACTTGAAATACCCTTTGAACTTCACCTTCCTCCCCACCCCCTTCTCTAGTCCCCTACCTCAGGCCTTCTTTTGTCCTTTATTTTCCATTCACACAGTCATTGCATCATTCCAATCCCTTTTTAATGCATGTATCTGTGTTTCTGATAATATATAGTATTAATAAATAATACTTGGTAGGTGTTTTCTAACTTTTACAAATGGTTATTTTCTATATGTATGTAGAAAATTAGAAATAATTTAAAACTCATTATGTGTCTGTCATTTTCCTCACTGATTTTTTTGGGGGGGATCTGTGTTGTAAAAGTATATGTCTAGCTAGGCCTGGTGGTGTACCTGTAACCCCAGAGACTCAGGAGGCTGAAGCCACAGAATCACAAGTTCAAAGTCAGTCTCAGTAACTTAGTGAGACCCTGTCTCAAAATTAAAAATAAAAAGTGCTGGGGATGTAGCTCAGTGGTAGAGTGCCCCTGAGTTCAATCCCTAGTACTAAGAGAAAAAAAAAAAGTATATATCTAGTTTATTAAGTTTATGCTGTTTAGTATTTTATTACATGAATAGAATATATTCTATTTATCCATTTTCCCATTGAGACACATCACATGCATTTTAGACCTATAGATAGAAAGATTGGAAAAAGAAATGGATCTAATCAAACAGTGTTAGGATACATAATGTTGAAAATCTTGATTTCTCCTTTTGACACGTTATTTATTTTATAAAAATGGAATGTATAGATGAGTATACTTGAATGTTTATGTAGGTTTATGTAGGTTAGTTCCTTTGCAAGGAAAAGCTCTAAACTTACTTTAATGTCTCATGCCTATCTGGATGATGCTGGATCACTTTTGCCAAAGCATCATATTCTGAAAGACATAAAAATATTTACCAAGTTTTCTTTTAAAAACCTTAAATATCAAAAGAAAACGCATAGTATCACACATGTCTCCTACTCATTTTCCTAGTACATAAAGAAATGAAAACAACGATGGATGGGAGTATTGCCATGCCACTTGATTGAACCACAACGATAACCATCTGTGACATCAAAAGTGTTAAATACAAGGATTTTGGCTCCAGATTCTGTTTTTCCACTAACATGTCCTGTACAGAATATAAGAAGTCAGCATAAGCATTAATGACTTTTAAGTCATTATCAATCAAGTGGACTGAATCTGAAAAGGATCTTACTCTTTGCCCAGAGTGTGTGATGGTGGTGGTAGGGGGTAGAATCAGTGAGAAAAACATATCTTACTGTTAATTTGTTAATTTCCTCACCATTCTAAAGGTAAAAACTTCAGAAACTTTAAAATACTTCAAAATTAAGATGATTGTTGCTGCTTCACTGAGACCTCTAAGATTAAGTTTTATTGCTTATATTAACATTTCCATGAAATGGTAAATAGTGAGGTTCACTTAAAAGTCTCCTATTCAATCAAAATCCTTTGCAATATATTTTTAAATAATGACATTGATATTAATTATTATGTTATTATATTTTGCTGTAAAGTGGCCACTGAAACTTCAGCATACATACTTTGAATTGAATACAAAAGCCACCTTTTATAAAGGGGAAATAAGCCAGGCTTAGTGGTGCGTGCGTGCATCTAATTCCAGCAGCTCTGGAGGCTGAGCCAGGAGAATTGCAAGGTTTTTTTTTAGTTGTAGGTGGACACAATACCTTTACTTTATTTATTTATTTTTTGTGGTGCCAAGGATCAAACCCAGTGCCCCACATGTTTGAGGCAAGTGCTCTACCACTGAGGACTGCAAGTTTGAGGCCAGAAGAAGAAAAAAAAAGATATGGGGATGTAGCTCAGTGGTAAAGCACCCTGCATTCAATCCCCAGAACTAAAAGAAAAAAAAAAAAAAAAAAAAGAGGTCAGGATAAAACTTTATCTTAATTAGCTCTCTAAAACGTGAAGTTTATTGTTTTGGAACTCAGTATATTACTAAGCATGATTTTTTTAAATTAAAAAAACCTCCATTACAATATAATAGATATTCAGTATAACACAAAACAAAAACAAAGAAAACCTAGATAATAAAACTCACAACCCCCAAATAACTGTTTACATTTTCTATTTTCTTCCAGTTTTTAATATATATTATCATAATTATGATCGTACTTTTTTTTTGGGGGGGGGTACCAGGGATTGAACTCAGGGGCACTCGGCCACTGAGTTCGATCCCTGGTACCCGCCCCCAAAAATTATTTGAAAGTTTATGAACTATATAAGGGTATACTCTAGTTAAAAAGAAAGATTAGAATAAAACTAAACTTTAACTTTTTCTTGTTATATAGTTAGGCAGCCTGAATATATCTGCTTCCTTTATACTTAATGAAAACCAACTGTGTTTAAATTCTCCTCTCTCTCTCATCAAACAAATCGACCCTATAACTAGTGTACTTATATAAATCACTTTTGCTGATTAAACAAAATATTCAGGCAAAATTGTCTGAAGACAGAAAAAAAGTAGTACTAAGAAATATCTGGATAATCAATACATCTCAGCAAAAACTTTTTTTCAGCAGATCATTCCTTTTTTTTCTATTTTCTATTTATGGTTTTAAGAATTAAATGTTTCTCCTAATTCTTTTTTTCTTAAATTTATTTTTTTAGTTTTAGGTGGACACAATATCTTTATTTTATTTCAATGTGGTGCTGAGGATCGAACCCAGTGCCTCACGCAAGAGCCACAGCCCCAGTCCCATCCTGATTCTCTTTGTCAATTAAATCGATTCTAGCTGCTGATTTTACCTCACATTAAAAACTGCATGAAAATACCAGTCAGTAGTAAAGTATTTGCACATGAAATCCCTCAAAACCCTTACCTTGGCGATTTTTTCGTATTCGTTTAGCTTGAAGAATCTGCTTTTTGCACTCAGCAATTTTTTCATGAGCTCCAGCAATACTACATTCTATATAAAAGGGTATTTTTTAAAAGATAGTTAATAACAACACATATAATCTCCATCCATTTTCAATTTTAAAACATGTTTTAAAATTGAAGTCCTATTGCTAACTAAATAGATGCTGGTATTAAAAAAGTAGCTGTAACCCCAATCATCATACCACACTATAAACTTTTGCAGATACCACTTACTGTATGCATTCTATTAATATTGTAAGTAACTTTTATCACTAACCCAAGAATATTGTTAGTAGGTATTTTTCCTTTAGATCATAAAGAATAAAAATATAGACGAAACATTATTATTTTTACCTATTTCTTTGTAAATTTTTTCATAATTTTCCATTTCTCTGAGATTCATGTCATACACCAGCAAAGTTTTGCCCATTGAAAATTCACATTGAGATAGTGTACTCAGCATACGTTGGTACTGGCTATATCTGATGGAAAAAGGAGGAAAAAGATGTTTGTGGATTGCTAAAATTAAACTACTTTAATACAGGCAAAGCTTTGTTAATTAAGTTATATCACATTCTGAGACAAATGTTTCCTTTAAAAAAAATCTAGAATATCCATCCCTTATGTTTTCTTTTTCCTTTATAACCAGCTATGGTTACAAACGTAAGACGGGCCTATTGTTTTTATCGGTGTAGGCTTAATTCAAGCAAATCTGTCTGAATTGTTTAAATCATTTTTAAAAATTATTTTGATTAAGAAGTCTGCTTATTTTCACAATTCTATTCTCATAGTTTTTCCATTCTATATGTATATTACACTTACTCTGTGGAAAGTGAATCCAAATGAGGAAGAATTTTGTTAAAAACCTAGATATCTTGCAGGAACTTTATTAACAAAGGAAAGAAGTTTCATTTAGATTATCTTGTCCTGTTAAATACTTATCTGCTAAAAGTGACCATGTTAACAAGCCTGAATTTAGTCTTCATTTCTTCTTTTACCTGCTTTCTACATGTTTGTTTTATAAGGCCTCCGAAGAGAAGTAAAAAAAAAATCTTTTGATGAGACAAGAAGTGACTTAAGTGGACAATTCGGTGAGTGAAAACTTAAAACATTAACAGGACCTTATTAAAATGACATCAGTACACTGGCATAGAGACAAGTGAAATGAATACCCTTCCTCCTGGGATCCAGAGTTGCACCACTTAATGAAACTTTTCACTAGCAAATTAATTCTTCGATCATCTCCAGCACCATCTCCATCAATGAGGAGACGCTTCCGTATCACTTCGTCTGAAGAGAGAAGGGCAAAGTGAATTAAAATGACCACTTAGCTCTTGTGACTTTTCAGGACAAATAATCAATATCACTATTCAGATGCTCATTGAAAAGATAATTATTGAAATGTCAATGTGCTTGGGGCTGGGGTTGCAGCTCAGTGGCAGAGTGCTTGCCTAGTATGTATGAGGTACTGGGTTCGATCCTCAGCACCACATACAAATAAGTAAATAAAATAAATGTCTATAGACAACTAAAAAATATTAAAAGAAATGAAATGTCAATGTGCTTAATGATACTGAATTGTATTAATGGCTAACTAATATCCCACTATACACCCAAAGGACTGAAAATTAGCATACTACAGTGATGAAGCCACATCCATGTTTATAGCAGCTCAATTCACAATAGCTAAGTATGGAATCAATCTAGGTGCCCTTCAACAGATAAATGGATAAAGAGAATGTGGTACATACACACAACGGAATATTACTCAGTCACAAAGAAGAATGAAACTATGGTATTTGCCAGTAAATGGATGAATCTGGAGATTATTGTGCTAAGTGAAATAAGCCAATCATAAAAACCAAAGGCAGAATGTTATCTCTGATATGCAGTTGCTGACTCACGATAAGGGGGAGGGAAGAATAGAAGTTCACTGGGTTAGACAAAGGGGAATGAAGGGAAGGGAGAGGAGATGGGAATGGGAAAGACAGTAGAATGAATGCGACAGAACTTTCCTGTGCTCATATATGAATACACAACCAGTGAAACCCCACATCATGGACAACCACAAGAATGGGATCCTAATCAGAATAATCTATACTCCATGTATGTATGATATGCTAAAATACACTCTATTGTTATGTGTATCTAAAAAGAATAAAAAATGGCTAAGTGGATAAATTGTATGATGTGTATCTTACAAATACATATATATGTGTAAGTTTTTTTTTTTTTTTAAAGAAAGTGGTTTTCTATTGTGTGTGAAGGTATCACAGGCAAAGAGGAAAAATCTTCAGGTAGAATAAAAATAAATAAATAAGCAACCAAGAAAATAAATTCTTGGATAACTTTTTTTTGAAAAAAAAAAAAGAAAGAAAAAGAAGAACCTGTCTGGCTGGGCGGCATGGTACACCACTGTAATCCCAGTGGCTCAGGAGGCTGAGGCAGGAGGAGCACAGGTTCAAAGCCAGCCTCAGCAACTTAGAGAGGCCCTAAGCAACTTAGTGAGACCCTGTTTTATAATAAAAAATAAAAAGATCTGGGGATGTGGCTCAGAGGTCAAGTGCCTCTGGGTTCAATTCCTGATGGGAAGGGGGGATCCTTGTCCTGAAAGGCAGTGGTGAGAAGAGATAGAGTAAAGAATATTTAAAAAGACAGAGTGGCGGACTAGGACAAGAAAAGAGAAGTCGGTCAGGGGAAGGGAGTGAACTGATAAAATACAAGTAGAATACAGTTATCTTAAGTTTCCCCATGAGAATTTCTTTTCTTTTTCTTTCTTTTTAACAAAACTGTCTCATTTTGCCCTGAGGAAAAGAGAAAAACAGAAAAGCAGTACAGACCGGCAGTGACTATAACAAGTGGGGTCCCAACCTGCCTGCCTGGCAGGCCTGAGCTCGTGTTTGGACCAGAATCATAACAAAAAAGGCCAGGGGAATCCACAATACAATGTCATTTCCCATCAGCCTGGCAAAGACCAAAACCTGACCGTTCAAAAGGTTGGCGAGGGCATTGGGAAATTGCACTCACATATACCAGAGGGTGCACACTGTCAGACTCTCCAAGGCCACGGGATGAAGAGTGCACGCACCTTTCTGACTCCATAGTTTAATTCTAGGAATTGAGGCTTTAAAAATACGTGCACCTACACACACAAAGGAAGGTATAAAGGGTTGTTTGTAGAAGTGCTGTCTGTAGTTGAAATATTGCAAACCTATATATTCACCAGGAAGAGACTGGTTTAATTATGAAATGTTCATATAATAGTATGCAGCCAAAAAAATAAGATTGGAGTCTATACTGATGCCAAGAAATCTTATTTTTGTGAAGTAAAACGAAAACGTGCGGAGAAGCACAACGTGCTGTGCTATGTGTAGAATGGAGGAGCCTGAGACCGGGTATGTGTGCGTGTGTACGTACATCACACAGGCATGAGTGTAGTCAGAAAATATCTTTGAAAGGATTCATAAAACTAGTAATAGTCAGCCAGGTGTAGTGGCATATGCCTGTAATCCCAGCAGCTTGGGAGGCTGAGGCTGCAGGATCGTGAGTTCAAATCACTCTCAGCAACTTAGTGAGGCCCTAAGCAATCTAGGAGAGGCTGTCTCAAAATAAAACATAAAAAGGGCTGGGGATGTGGCCTGGGGGTAAAGTGCCCCTGGGTTCAGTACCTGATACCAAAAACAAAACAAAACAAAACAACTTTGGTAATGTTGGTTGTTTCAGATGAGAGGGACTACATCTAAGAGATGAGAAAAAATGTAATTCCTTACATGCCATTGTACAAGGATTTTGTTTGCTTATTTTGGGAGGTTTTGGTTTCGTTTTTAACCAAATGCACTTTTTAAAAAATGAATTTTTTTTTTTTTTAAAAGAGAGAGGAAGAGAGAGAGAGAGAGAGAGAGAGAGAATTTTTTAATATTTATTTTTTTTTAGTTTTCGGCAGACACAACATCTTTGTTTCTATGTGGTGCTGAGGATCGAACCCGGGCCGCACGCATGCCAGGTGAGCGTGCTACCGCTTGAGCCACATCCCCAGCCCCCAAAAATGAATTTTTAAAGTGTAAATAATTCCTGGAGAGGCTGCATGATGAATCAACAGCAAAATCTTTAAACAATAGTTCCTGTGTGTAGGCAGGAGGATTTCTGAGCACAGGTGCAGCGGAGATAAAACTTGGGAAGGCAGAGGACTCCAGTTTTAAAATATATTGTGGTAGCATGAGATAGACATTTTTAGAATTGAGTTTGGTTGTCAGGCATGGTTTTGAAAGACAGCTCAAGCTATAGATTCATCAGATGTTTTATATTTTAAAAACATGAACTAATGCTTTTGGTTTTTAAACACATACAATGTTATCTAAAGAAACAGAAAAATAAAAGTCCTCAAAGAGATTAAAATGCAAAATGATTTTTTAAAAAACTATCTCAATGTTTCAATTTTTTAAATGAAACAAAACAAAAAGAAGCCAGGTGTGGTGGCGCATTCCTGTAATCCCAGAGGCTTGGGAGGCTGAGACAGGAGGATTAAGAGTTCAAAGACAGCATGGCTGAGGCCATAAGCAACTCAGTGAGAACCTGTCTCTAAATAAAATATTAAAAAGGGCTGGGGATGTGGCTTTGGTGGTTGAGAACCCCTGGGTTCAATCCCCAGTACTAAAATAACAAAAAAACATAAATAAAATAAATAAATAAAAGGAAATATCTACAGGTGAGCTAGTCTGGCAGAATTGATGCTCATTACCAATTCTATCGAAATTTCAAAGAACATATGGCCTTTGACTCAACAACCCCAGATGTACTTAAGCAATTATTCAGTAATTTCTCTTACTTATTTTTGCTCTTTTCAATCCCTGTTGTCCCTTCCTCCCCACCAAACCGACCTTCTACCCAGATGCCTAGGCCTTATGCTTAATATTGAGGACAGTGGATTTTGAATGTAAATGCATTCGGGGAACAGAAGAAAGCATATGAGGAAGGGGAATCTATCATAAGACCTGATTTTTTCAAGTTTGATAACTATCTAAAAATGTTGAAACATATTTTGTGATCCTTCTAGCTATTTTAAGACCTGTGCAGTTTTCTATATATAATGTAATACACCAATTAGAAAAGTCTTCCTGAAAGACATGTAGAACACGGTTCAGGCCAAACCAGCCAAGTCTCCAGGCTCCTCTCATCCTCCCTACTTGGGAGAAAGGTTATTGAGGGCCAGCACTATGTCCTATTCCTTCTGTTTCCTCCTAAGCCTCTCACACCATGTCTTATACATTCAAATGTTCAATAAATATTCTTAAATTAGATTTGTGCTTCCTGCACAGGACCATCTGCTTTCTAAAGAGCTTTGTTTCAACCAGCCACTATCGAGGGCTAGCAGGCAACCACCTTATTTTCGTTTCCACAGTGGTGATTACTTGTACAAAAGACATGAATATCTGACCAATCAGATGTGTCCACAGGTACCTCAGCAAATTCTGAGGATATGAAATAAAGACCTGAGCCCTTTTACTCTCACTGGAGAAACAGCACACATAGGAATACACACGCAGGGAGGCAGGGATTGTTAAATGAGTGCCACAGTGCCACAGGCCGTTGGCAGAGATCAGGAGTACAGCTCCCTTTAGCTTGGGGAAAATCAAGAGGTTGAGTCTAAGTGGCTTTTTTTGTTTGGTACCCAGGATTGAACTAAGGGGTGCTTCCCAGCCCTTTTAAGTTCTTATTTTGAGACAGGGTCTTGCTAAATTGCTGAGGCTGGCTTTGAGCTTGAGAGCCTCCTGCCCCACCCTCTGGAGCCCTGTGCGCCACTATGCCCAGCTGAGTTGCTCTTTTGACACTTAAAAATCATCAATCAAAAAAACTGAAAGGCAACCAATTCTATCAAAATTTCAAAGAACATAGAGCCTTTGACTCAACAACCCAGATGTACTTAAGCAATATGACATTGGATTATGCACTGAAACATTATAATAACAAATACTAAAAGCACACCAAATATACATAAATAGGGGAAAATTAAACAAATTTTAGCATAGGAACAAGAGGGAGTACTCTGAAGCTATAAGGAAAAAAGAATAAGTACTCCATGTATTGATCTAGAGATCATTTAAGATACCTTGTTATAAAAGGTGGAGAACAGTATTACGGTATTCTTTTTCAAACAAAAATCAGGGGAGATGAGAATATATATTTTTATGAGCTTACATTTGTTTGGATACCCTGGAATGACAGACAAGAAACTAATTACAGGGATTACCAAGAGAGCGGGTAGTGTAAGTGGGGTAGACAGACTGGAAATG